GCAATACGATAGCTATGGAAAAATTATGGAATTGATTATTGATGAACACGTTGACTATTCAGATGAGCACGATAGACCGACTGAACAACATAATCCTCGTTATTTATTAGAGCTTTATATATTTTGCAAATGCCATTAGAACAACGATAGTATGTTAGCCGTTAGCCGAAGCTCAATATAGCTGGACTGTAAGGTCTTCAGATCGAATGAATACATAAAAAATATACAGGGGAAACGTTAAAACGGTTTTTTTTTTTCAAAGTTGTACTTTGAGCGCCTTCCATCATGAAAAAATATTGAATTATAATTATAAATGCAGAAACTTAAACTTTTATAAGGAAACTGTGTGTAACCCCATACAATGGGGTTAAGTTGAAACAAATATATTGCAGCAGTTTTACGATGAAAATTCTCCTCTATTTTCTTAATGATGGCCGGTGGTGCTGAATGTCGTATACGCGATCGCCTTTCTTCTTCGGAGGCTAGACTTGGGCGATTTGGATCGATCTTTGGTAGGTCGATCTATTCCATCTTGATTTTGGATTTTTTGGATCGATTGTTTGTTTTCAAAAATATAAATGAATTACAATTTTTTTCAGTGTGCATCAAAAAACAAAAACTATTTCTTTAAGCTCCAAACCACTTGGTAAACTAAATGAACATAGACTAAAAATCAGCATCAGCATTGTTGCTCCTATTTTTGAACATAATTGATTTGACAATCTAAGTTTGATAATCTCTTTCATTATTACGCATTACAGCCGTCACATTTTTATAACTTTTTCGGCAATCCTGCTCCTTTGATTCCGTTTGTTTTTTTCTTCTCTTAACCACTGAATCTTAATAATTTCTTTTTGTTGTTTATTAATTTATTTGCTAAGACTCAATTGAATTAACTTTATAGAGCCGAAGATTCTTGCTCAATATACAGTGCATCGTAAAACTATAGTTAAAAGGTACAACACAATAAACACTTTATCCCCCCCCCCCCCATGGCAGTACCGCCAACGGGGGCTAGAGCGCTTCTACTGCAGCAATGGACGAAAAACGTGGTCATCACTCACACCTTCATCACGAAACGGTTGCTTTCCATTGACCGAAAAAAACTGCTCATGAGGAGCAATGAGGAAGAACACACAATGGTTGCTGCCGAGTAAACAGACGATCGCGTGACACACATCAAGAGTGGCCTGCTCTGTCGACAGCCGAGAGAACATTGAAATAGTTTCTTCTGACATATAAACAGATCTCACGAATAAATACGAGTAAACGTTGATGTTGAGTTAATTATGCTCATTTTGTTGTTTCATTGAAACTGTCGGCATATAATTCATCATTATGAAGAAAAGATCGATCCCGCCGAGAACGATTTTTTTGGTAACGGTTAAATTGATGGATCAATAATATCTCTGTAAATCAAATCAATCCACCCAGATCGGTATTTTCGCGAAGATCGCTCAATCCTGGGTAGATCCCAACCAGTGCTGATAAAAATCATTTCTACTAGACTTAATTTAGCTGAAAATTAAAAAAAAAATCTTAGCAGATAGACTAACTATCTGGATGAATTTGAATTTTGACATAACAACATTCGTTTTCTTCATTCGTGGCTGGATGTCCAGTATCGCGTCTGTTCTTGTCAACATCAATATTCGTCTTCATCATCACTGTGCCTCAACTGTGCCTGCAGTGCTGAGGAGCAAGTCATTGAACTGATGTTTGTTTGCTTGTGAATATTGGCTTTTTTGGCAACCCGGTATGTTGACATTGACTCTTGTTTTTGTTTTATTTTTTGAAACTCGAGATGACCCGGGCCGGGAGTGTACCGGATAGTATATCCGATCGGATTGCCTAAAGGTGTGTACTAGAGTGATGCAAAATTTAAAAATTTTCGCTCCACAATACTTTAACGATTCCAAATCGGATCCAGTTTCCTCCAAATCTGAGTAAAGAAAATTCTCTGAGTCAATTATTCTCAGTAGCTGAGTAGGTATGATTGACCGTGTACCGAGTGTTGTCGTGCGCGACAGTCTGTTTGTATTCGTACACTCATGCTCTACCGTCGTCTCTCTCACACAACACAACCGGTAGAATAACATTCTAGCAAAAATAAAATTATCAAATAACTATCATATGACATGTGTGATTTCGTTCTAAATCCTCAATTTGGAGTAAATTAAACCATTTCTGATCAAAAATGTTATTACTAGGACATCGTTGCTTGCTAATTCAGAATTCACACAAGCACAACATCAGCAGCTTTTATTGTAAGAAAAACTAAAATACATACATTCGTGACGGTCTTCGGCGACAGTGTCGTATGACAGAGGCTGTCAAATGACATTTGAGTTTGGTACTGTACTATGATAGCTTGTTTTGCAAGTGTCGGAGGCAAAGGCAGTCGATTATCACAGAAAATGTGTCGACTACCATGACCGCTTACAAGACTGTTCTTGGCGATAATCCAGTATCGTTAAAGGATATGAATACTCTTCTTTGTCAGGTAGAGCCTTGCCTAAACTCAAAACCAATTACAGCGCTCTCCGATGATTCAAACAATATGGAACCCCTCATACCAGGTCATTTTCTGGTTGGGTCATCTCTGGAACAGCTACCAGAATTCGATTACCAGGATATACCTACAAACCGTCTGAAAAGATGGCAAACGGAATATTTAACCCAACTGCAGGCCAGAACCAAGCGCTAGCGATCAATGTTGGTCAATTAGTTATCGTGCGAGATGATAATCTTCCTCCGATCCACTGGTGGATGGGTCGGATCCTCAAAGTACATCCAGGGTCTGACGGAGTAGTTCGAGTTGTGACCATCAAAACGGTGTCTGGCAGTTTGAAGCGGCCAATTGAGAAAATATGCGTGCTCCCAACTAGAAATGCTGAGTCAAGAGAGCTTCTCAATCAACTTCCAGATGTCTAGATTGCCAACAGCTCAGTGTTCGAGAAGGGTAGGTTTCTTTTTATTTTCAGAAATCCCAGCATTTAAGGGTGGCGAAGATGTTGAGAAGCGTACTACGGCGATCGCGCTCGCATTGAAGTTCTCCCCGATGTTGCTGCAAAGGTTTGTGGACCAACCATTGCCACTATGGGCAAAAATGGGTCCAAAATTACCCAAAATTCAATATCTCAACAGCACGCTGAATTCCGGCCATGAAAAACAACTTTTCCGAAGAGAAATCGTTCGGGGAATCGATTGCACGTGGTCCCATAGACCGAAGAGCCTTGTAGGTATGTATTTTGGACCATTTTACTCCATTTTACCTTACTTTTTTGGAGGAAATGTTTTTTCACAGCTCTATTTTTCGTAAAACATAAGCACTTTATGCATAGTTTTAGAATACTATGTCTTTAAACAACAGTTCATGAGATATTAGGGGAATACGGGTTACACTTTATAGGGGAGTAAGGGGTAAAAGTGAACCCTCGCTAAATTTATTTTAATTCATAAAAATGTTGAACGATGCAATTGTTTGAATGAACCCAAAGGTTGCCTGCAAAAATAAGATTTTTTTTTGAAATTTTAAGGTTAATTGGTGTTAAATAAGTTTTAATTTACTGCTATCTGTTTTAAAAGAGTTTTCACTTTTTTTGTCTGTATACAGCAAAACGATATAGTGGTTCTCAGAATTTTGTAAAAATTGGTAGTTTTGTTCCTAATCGCAACATATTCGACCCTTATTTTTTATTTTGTCATTAGGGTGACTATTTATATATTAGGACGGTCAAAAAAAAAAATTTTTCGATTTTTTTCAAAAATTTATAACTTTTGAACTGTTTGGCCGATGACGGAACTTAAAATACCAAATGAAAGTTAATTAAAAGTTTTTTTAAGTAAAAAATATTAAGATATTAAAAAAAAAAGGATTTTGTATTAAAAAACATTGATTGTTTTTTTTTTTCACTTTTACCCCTTACTCCCCTATAAAGTGTACCCCGTATTCCCCTAACATCTCATGAACTGTTGTTTAAAGACATAGTATTCTAAAACCATGCATAAAGTGCTTATGTTTTACGAAAAATAGAGCTGTGAAAAAACATTTCCTCCAAAACGTAGGGGAAAATGGGGTTAAATGGTCAAAAACACATACCTACAAGGCTCTACGGTCTATGGGACTACGTGCAATCGATTCTCCGGACGATTTCCTTTCGGAAAAGTTGTTTTTCATGGCCGGAATTCAGCGTGCTGTTGAGATATTGAATTTTGGGTAATTTTGGACCCATTTTTGCCCATAGTGGCATTGTTTAGCTAGCGTATGTCAACGAAGCTTACTAATACAATCATGAAGGAAGATCAACAGCATGACCGGCAAATCACCAGCAGAAATCGGCACCATCACGAATCGATCTAACGAGGCCATATCAATTTAAGGACTCGACTCGAGCTTTTTACGGTGTGTGTATTTATGCTAGATCCATCAGGGGCAGATAAAGCTGGAACTGTTGGCGGCCAAATCTCGTCCAGCTAGTTAGAAGAAGACTACTTTCACAAGGTTAGAGTTATGTGGTACCTCCATAGCAGCAAAACTAAATGGTTCGACCGTCAAAGCACTCGGGATGGATAGAACCGAAGCTTGGTTCTGGTCAGATTCGAAAGTTGTACTATCGTTATTGAAGCGGCCATCGTACGTGTATCCAACATTTGTTGCGAACGTGTTTCGAATATTCCGAAGCTGACGAAAGGTCACCGCTGGAACCATGTCAAAGGCACGGAGAATCCAGCAAATCTTGTATCTTGGGGAGTAATGCCAAAAGATCCATATGCAGCACTTGTTCCATGGGCCACCCTGATTATCCTTGCTTGATCAACATTTGAATACCGAACAAAACTTGAAGTTCGAGGAACTATCGGAGGAGTTGCTGGAGAAAACGAATAACGTCTTTGTGGCGATGGGTTGCCCAAAACCTTACCCTTTTTTTTTTTGATATTTAGTCGTGCTATTGGAAACTCTTGCGGATTACCCTTGAAACTGCACCATCCGTTCCTAGATCAGCAAGACATAGTTAGCGTTGGTAGCCGGCTAAATCTCGCCGATTCGCCGTTCGACACCCCATGATTATCCCTAGTAGCCACTCTTTCTCGCGACAGGTAGCTGTCGCATACCATAACCTGTCGCTCCATTCTGGCCCCCGAATGACGCTCGCTCAAATACAGCAAGAATTCTAGCCGTTACGGGGTAAGGCACTTGCAATTTATACTTTCCGAAACTGCATTCGCTGCTTTCGAAGCAACCCTGTCCCTATATCCCAGCCAGCTGGTCAACTGTCAAAACCTCGTAAATCTCCCACTCGTGCATTTGCTGTAACTGAGCAGCTGCTCTCAAAGCCTTCATCCCAGTTTTCGTGTGCCTTAGCACGAAAGCGGTCCATCTCGAACGGGGAGGGAAAATCACTACGGCTGCTTTCATGGCTGCACTGCGACGACTTGTATCCCGTCGAGGCTTACCTACTGAGATCAACTCGGACAATGGTCTGAACTTCCAAGGAGCTAGCAACCATCTACGAGAGCTTTACGACCTTCTATCCGATTCATTTGCAACACCAGAAATCACTAATGAAGCTTGTAAGCATGGCATCATTCGGAAATTTATCCCACAAAGAGCACAAAACTTTGGTGGCTTTTGGGAAGCGGCCATGAAATCTGCCAAGACGTCACTGCTCCGAGTCTTGGGCCAACGAAAACTGTCGTTCGAAGACATGACCACCATCCTCACCCATGCATTCTCGTCCACTTATGCCACTGTCGGAAGATCCTGATGAGCTAGACGTGCTCACTCCCGGACGTTTTTTGACTGGCCCATCGTTGCTGGCAATTCCCAATACGGACTACACGGAGGTTCCTACGAGCCGCTTACAGCACTACTAGGAACTGGAACAACTAGTACAGCAGTATTGGAAGCAATGGAGGTGAGAGTATATCTCACAGCTGCACAACCAGAATCAACGATTCCCTCAAGAAACCATGCTAAGGCGGGGGGGGGAGTGTCAGTACCACCTGAAAGAGGATGGATCCACAGCCATCGAGTGGCCTCTAGCCCGAATCATTGAAGTCAATCCTGGTCCCGACGGTGTAATGAAGGTACACACACCGAACGGTGTCTCGTATCTGTTTGCTGGCATTCAAGAAGGCCTTGAATGGGCAGCCCACCAATTCCTGTTATTCTCAACCGTCAAATGAAACTCCCAAGGATGAAAACGCTGCCAGCCCGGAAAGCGCAACGTAATTCCTGAGAATAATACAGTATCATATCTTGAAACTTCCAGCATCTTTATTCCTAAGCAGCTTAAGTTAAGTTAAGATTTTGAATTCCTAAATCCCTTAACTGAATTTAGGTTGCCGGCATGTGAACCTTCAGATGTGTTCCTTCCGAGATATTCACTAAAAACGATTGTTTCCATATGTTAGGGAAGTTTCCGGATTCCAGTGACATATTGAAAATCCAAAATAATGGAACAGTAAGTTCAATTGCTAAAGTTTTCATAAAAACTGGCGGAACCTGACGGTCAGGACCTTTAGATGCATCTAAATTGTTTAAATCCTTTAAGATATCATGAACCTTGATTTGACTTACGCTGATGTCACATGTGTTTCGTCTGCTACTTGCGCTTTTACCCATACATGTTCGAATTCTTTAAATTTAGTAGCTATAATGATTTCTGAATTCAATTGGGTCGAAATCGCTATTAATACTCCACCTCCCGATTTTTTTTAAAGACCATCGAAAATTGCGGTCGTCTCTATAAACGTTACAATTGTTACCGAAAACTTCTTCACCTCTCACACTATCATCCCAACTTGTTTTATTAGCCATTATGACAGAGTAAGTAGAACTTAATATATTGTTGTTAATTTCATTCATTTTGCCGGCGCTCTCATGCGGTTAACATTTTGGCAATATACCAAATTTTCTGTAGTGGTCTGAAGATTAGGTGAAGAAGTTGATGGTAACCTGTCATTCATAAAACTATTATCAAAATTATTTACCCCTGATCCATGTTCCGAATTTGTTTCGTTCTGCAAAGTGTCGTGATCTTTGTTATTTTCTTCCTCTATAGAGCGTGTCAGTTTCGTAGAAAAATTATTTAAAACTATGGATTCATTACCAGCCGCATCCGGTTCGTCATGGTCTGCCTCTGAATAGTGCGTCAAGTTGGATGAAAACACGTATGTTGACACGCCTCACATGAAGAGCATCCAGTAGGGCTGCGAGCCAGGCGTAGGCCGTGGTAATTCACCATCAGTTGGATATGGATTGAGAGTCTCGCCTCTCTGGAACTGTTACTTATTGCATATTAGCTTATTGCGTGCTCTCAACTTAGTGATCCAGATGCACTTCCACAGTCATCAATTGAGAACTGTCGATGCCTGTAACATTTCTGCATTAGTATCATTGTTTGGCAAATATAATCATACTCCATGCCCAGGGAAGTTGAAAAATTTCCCAACCTGACAAATTCCTAGATCGGACCGAGAATCGAACCCAGCCACCTCCAGCATGGTCTTGCTTTGTAGCTACATCATTACCAACTGAGCTAAGAGAGGCCATACTTTCCCATCTAATATAAAAATCCAACATTTTAGTATTGTCGAAAATAAATCTTTATTTCTTTGTTAACCGCCACTGAAAAAAAAAAAAAAAAGATTGCAGATTATTTCTAATTCAACGCATAGGAACGGAAATACGTGATTATTCCGTGGATTAAAGTGAGAACAGTAAAAAGATAGCTGCTTTCATTAAGGGCAGCGTAATATACCTGTTTAACCTAGATAAAGTTTTGGAGCATCTCAGATGAATCAATTTATCTGGAAAAGATAAAAACTGTTCCGCTTCCTAAAGGGTGATACGGTCAAAATTTGGTCAAGGGAAAACGCGTGTAAATCGGTGAAATCGTTTATTTAAAAAATCAAATTAAATTTTTTTTTTCAAGTTCAATTAGTATAAAATTCAGGAAAAATATTCAGTTAGGCTTCCGCTTTTCCAAATCTGAATTGCCGGGCCTTACGCTTGACCCCTGCCATCAGATTTTGTACAGCCACCTTGTCCACCTTCTTCGCCGCAGAAAGCCAGTTTGCCTTGAACTGCTGCTCGCCCTTAGCAGTTTTTTGGTCTTCTTTAGGTTCCGCTTGACAATAGCCCAGTATTTCTCAATTGGGCGGAGCTCTGGCGTGTTGGGAGGGTTCTTGTCCTTGGGAACCACCTGCACGTTGTTGGCGGCGTACCACTCCATGGCCTTTTTACCGTAATGGCAAGATGCCAAATCCGGCCAAAACAGTACGGAACAACCGTGTTTCTTCAGGAAAGGCAGCAGACGTTTATTCAAACACTCTTTCACGTAAATTTCTTGGTTGACAGTCCCGGAAGCTATGAAAATGCTGCTTTTCAAGCCACAGGTACAGATGGCTTGCCAAACCAGATATTTCTTTGCAAACTTTGACAGTTTCATTATGACAAATCTATCCCAAGTAACAATTTTGGTCTTAAAAGGGTTCTGTGGACCATGATTTAGGCTTTTAGAATTCTATAAAACTTCTATAAAACTTGGAATGTTAATTGGGGTGTGATCAATTCGACACCGTTTTACGGTACTCGGGAAAGCGTTAGAGAAAATACTGAATATGGAGAATCTAAGCGATCGTTTCAGCCTCTGGTGGTGAATAGGAGAACGCTCACAAGAGTATTTTTTTTTTTGTATTATAGTCACTTTAACGCTCTTGGGTCATTCGTGACTTGTCCGGGGGTGAGATTTGAACTCGTGACTTTGGCGTGAGAGGTATGGATGCTAACCACTACGCCGGGGTCGCCCCTTTCGCACAAGAGTAATGAGGGCTGACATTTTTGCCGTGAGGCATAGGAAGTGGAAAATATTTTCAACTTTCCTTATTAATTTATCCACAGCAGGTGCTTGAAATCATCATCGACGTGGAATATTTTGTTTTAGGTATCGATTTTGCAGTGATCCAGCTGGTTTTTCCACATAGGGGAAATGCATATGATGTCGGCCTAATTGCCCCTAATTTGTGCCCATACATAAATTCAGCAATTGACTAAATTTTCAATAGCGACCAAAACTATGCATTAATACCATAGAGGTAACTCTAAGACCACTGGGTCCCGAAGAAAATCATTATTATTTTTGGCTCACTCAGTACCAGAACAACGGTCCCAAGCAGTCCCAAGCTATTTCACTCACCCCTGCATGTTCTGCATGAATCCACACACCCCTGATGTTATCTGTCAAACTTTCATAGCGAATCAAAACAAACATAGTGTAGTAATAGAATTTCAACTACAATAGGGTACGTTAATCGTTTGCTTGGGACCAATAGGCTAGTCAAGTAGTGAGCCAATTTAATATCGTTAGTTTCGTATTGATTGTTGTTAATACCGTCCCAATGACGCGTTCATCTAGATAAAATTGATAAATAGCAGATTTTTAGCGATGTGTTCAATCTTAGATCCATAGGCCAACATTAGAGCCATTTCCACTTTTTGTGTTGAGATAAATTATGATTTATAAAACACTCCCAACGGCAGAGTTGCGATCTATCACAATAACGATCGTCAAACAGCTGATGGTAGTAACGCTTAATACATTCCTATTAATGTGCTTCTCGAAGCACTCTCCATGACCATCCATCAAGTTGACGAAAGAAGTAAAAAGCAACTGATGAATGTCGTCTTCGGTGGTGATCCATCACCGATCTGGTCATTCCCGACAATCACGACACTCATATGTGCTCGTTTTGAAGCATGTGCTGCTTTGCTTGCTTATGTGAGTGTGTTGGTGATTGAGACCAACAGCTTCCGTTTAATTTTGCAAGCTTTGTTTATAACTACAATGTGCGTGCCGAGACGAAGTTGGAATGCATAGGCATTGTTTTCATTTTCTTCTGTCGTGTCGCTTTTTCACATCAGCAGCTAGCGTTACGTCTTGGTTGTGAGCAGCGACCATTACTGGTGATTGTTGTTTGCCATGGCTCTACCTCTCACTGTGTGACAAAACGTTCTTTCAGTTGATGCATTGACGAGTGTCGAGTGAGTGTCATAATATTTTG